GCCGAGGTATATGCCCTTAACTGGAACTGAACCCAGGACCCTTTGGTCCGCAGGCCGACACAATCTACTGAGCCACACCGGCTAGGGCAAGATCACCTTTTGAACTTGATAAAATGCATGTCACCAGGACCCAGCCTGGGGGGGTGGGGGGCCTTGAAACAAGCTTTCTAGGGGTGATTCTCACATCAGCTGGGTTAGGGAACTACCCGTGCAGACACAGTGAAGTGCAGAATTCCAGCACCATGGATGCCTGCTGGTTCCTCTGCCCATCTGACTGGAAACTGGGTGGGCCTCAGCTTTGTGTAGCAGAGTGCTTGCTATCTACCCGGCACTCGGCACATATCTCAGATTCACACATGACTGTATCACGAGGCAAGTTCTCGATGAGATAGTGAGGCGGATGGCTGATTAATGCTGATTTCCAGTAGTGATGGGTAAAAAGACAGAATCACCACCCTCTTTTCACCTTTCCTGGTGGCCTTTTCTGTGGCTTTCCCCCAAAGTAGTGACAGCCTGTAGGTGCAGATGGTTGCTCACTTACGAAGCAGAGCGTCGGGATTTCACCGACAGGGCCACTGGTTGTTGGCTAATTTCAGGGGAGGAGGAAATGCAGTGGTGGTCCTGACCCTCCTGGCTCCTGGCAGGTGTTGGCTCACAAAGCCTGCATTGGTGAGGAATCTCTAATACCTTCTCAGGTAGCAAGAATTGGGTGTCCTCGGCCTTGAGGGTGCAGCAGACCTGGTGGCAGCCAACAGCGTTTGCAGGGAAAGACTGGTAATCAGAGAAGTCCAGCTGCAGAAGACGGGGCTCTGAGGGAAGAGGGCGGGGCTTTGGTAAGGCCAGGGAGTGGTCGGGAGTCTGGCTCCAGCCCTGCCAGACCCTCATCTTTTGTGAAACCAGCATGTGACACAGGCCCGAGGTCATGGCTCTCTCACAAGCTTGGTAATTAGCAAAAAGTGTGTGGTTTCATGCTTTCAAACCATCTCAAGGCCAGGGCAAGAGAACAGGGATCTGATAACTTGTTGCCATCTCTGGCATTTTTTTCCTGCTTTTTTAAAAAAAATAATATTTTAATTGATTTTAGAGAGAGGAAGGGGGAGGGAGAAAGAGAGACTGATTTGTTGTTCCACTTATTCGTGCATTCATTGGTTGATTCCTGTATGTGCCCTGAACGGGGATCAAACCCGCAACCTTGGTGTATCAGGACGATGCTCTAACCAACTGACTACCCACCAGGGCTTTCCTGCTATTTTACTGCTCGCTCTGCAATTACTCAACACAGTGCGGCTGGGAGGAGAGAGCAGCAGGTACCACTGTTTGCCAGGCGGCCTGAGCTACCATCTGCCTCTCGGAGAAGAGGGGAGGGCGGTTGGCAGGGCAGAGCAGGTTTCAGGGCCGGTCCGTCTCCGCAGACCTGCTCAGCGGCCAGTTCACTATCAGCACACCGAGTTGTTCTCTCATACTCACCAGGACAGTCACGTCGGGCCTTATTTTTAGTCCTCACATTGTGTTTACTCCCTATCCAGATCCTTGCGGTTCCTGGAAATGGTTTGACTCTAGCAGTAGTGCTATGTGCACACAGCGAGTGTTCAGATTTTTTCCATTTCTGAAACATCAGTTCCCAGGGAGGAAGAAAAGTTCACGTCTATTGAGCATCTATAACACTCACAGGTGCTCTGTCATTCACGCTTCACAACCGTCTGCCGAGGTTGCTGAAGTTATCAGTTCCCATTTCACAGGTGAGGCACCCGAGGCCAAATTCCAGATGCTTCCAGGCGTGCAAAGGAGGGTGAAGCGAGACTTGAACAGGTGTTAGGTTCTCTCTCTGCTGGACACTGCCTTGCACAGGACACGGATTTGTCTCATTTAACCTCCTGACAGCCCAAAGACGGAGGTACTGATAGGGAAACGGAGGCTTGGAGAGGCGAAGCGACTTGTCGGTGTAAGTGGCAACCAGAATGCACCTGGCTTCCTGCTTCTGTGTTCACTGGCCCAAGTCTTAACCCGAACCTTTACTAAAATCCATTCTCTGGCCGAAACCGGTTTGGCTCAGTGGATAGAGCGTCGGCCTGAGGACTGAAAGGTCCCAGGTCAATTCCGGTCAAGGGCATGTACCTGGGTTGCGGGCACATCCCCAGTAGGAGGTGTGCAGGAGGCAGCTGGTCGATGTTTCTCTCTCATCGATGTTTCTAACTCTCTATCTCTCTCCCTTCCTCTCTGTAAAAAATCAGTAAAATATATTTAAAAAAATAAAATAAAATAAAATCCATTCTCTGAAATGGGCTATGGCCGGGGGTTGGTTCAAAAAAGGTTCTTTGCAATTCGGACACTGCAGCACGTGAGTGGTTTTATCCAAGCTGGTGAGTGGATTCTCGGTAATCCTAGTCAAATAAGTATTACACAAATGTGATGTGTTTTTCTCCCCCAGATCGGCCGTGGATTTGGAACATTCCTTATATCAAAGCCCCAGACACACACGGGAACATGTGGGTCCCGTCCTGAGGGGTGAAGCTCTGTGAACCTTGAGTGTAAGACGTGGAGCCCCAAACACTGGAGTCCTTGTTGGTACTGGGCGTTCGCGCCCCTCAAAGTGTCTCTGCACCCCTGGGAACTCGGCGGAGGTCACTCGTGGAACATGGATGTTGGTCATAGTTGTAGTCATTGTTAACACTTCTCACTAAAAAAAAAAAGTTCTATTTTCTTAATTCCCTTTTCTATGCTGTACTCTGGAATGAGAGCTATTAAACTTCACAGTGTGAAAAGAACACGTAGATAGGAAGTTCTCCTCGTAGTGACTGGGACCTCGCGATGCTGTCGGCCTTCTGAACCGAGGGTTCACTGTGTGTGCTGGGCGCTCTCGGGAAAGGTGCTTTCCCACCCAGCCCCCTCTCTGCCGCCGGGGTGTCTTGGGGTTGTGGGCCAGGGGCTGCAGATTCCAGGCCTGTCACTGAGGCTGGTGGGCTGTCCGTCCTCCCAGCACCAGGCCAGCCCCTCACTGACTGCAACGGGTTCACTGGCTGAGGCCACCTGCCGTCTCCTCACCCGTTCCCCAGGCTGCGTGGGTGTCTCTTCCATCCATCCCCACAGATTTCTAGCAAAGATGCCTCACACATCATACGAAAGCACACAAGTGTTTTACTTGGAAGAAATCCCAAAAGGTGACCCAGTTGGGCACCTTCAAATCACAGGTGAGGAAACAGGCCCAGAAAGGTTCAGGATGTCCTCCTGGTCTCACGCTGGCTCCCAGTCTCACAGCTGGCTGGGTCAGAATTCCTCTAATGATTCACTTAAGATTTTCACTTTATGTGAAAATTTTTTTAATCTGTAAATAAATATTGAACTCACCATATGCAGGGAGAAGTATTGGGAGAGAGGAGGAATGTACTGATGTCTACAACACTTACTTTGAATGCATTTAAACCAGATGGGTTGATGGATGGAGAGAGGCATGGGTAGATATGCACTAAAGTATGTACTAGTATAGTAAATGTTCTTGTGGAATCGAGGTGGTGAATATATGGGTGTTCACTGTAAGTTTCTTACAACTTTGTTTGAAATTTTCATAATAAAATGGGGGGGGGGTAGTTGCAGGACTCACCCATGGTGTATACACATGACCCCATAGCCACTATCCCCCTAACGCCGTTGCCCCCAATAGGCTACATAAAAGAGGGGCATTCTGGAGCTGAGAGTAACACTCAAGCATCCAGGCTTCTGATGGCAGAGAATCCAGAGCTGTGGTGTGTGTGTGTGTGTGTGTGTGTTTTCTCTCTGCTCCTGGGGAGTGTAGGTGGGTGGGTGGGCTTTGAGCCTGAAACAACTCTTTTGGGAGGTGGAGAAATCTTTGAGCCTGAAACAACTCTTTTGGGAGGTGGAGAAATCTTGCTTCGCTCGAAGATGCCCACGTATCTATTCCTTTGGTAGGTGGGGGCGAGCTGTCTGAAAGGGATGGAGCTCCCTCTTCTGGCCTGAGAAGGGCCCACACAGCCGGACAAGCGCTGGACCCGCCTCTTCAGCACCCACTTTGTGTATCTGCGCGGCACCCGGGGTGGGAGAACCGAAGCCCCCAGAGGTCCCGCCGAAAGCCGGGAATCCGCGGCGGAGACCAGCGCTGGGGGCGGCCCGGCGCATCCGAGAGGCGGCGGACGGGGTGGAGTCGCTGGCGCCGGCAGCCGCGCAGCTACACCTGTTGCAGCGTCGGCCAAGCTGGGCCGAGCGTAGGGCGCACCGCCGCTCCGGCGCCGCTCTGCAGGGCAGGCCCGCAGCGAGGAGGGGACCTGGGGACAGTCCCGACAAAGCCGAGCGAGGGGCTCTCCTCGGGAGGTGAGACTGGAGCGGGCCGCAGCGCCAGCGCCCTCTGAAAGGCAGGGTCTCGGGGAGGGCCCCCGCCCCAGGCGGTTAGCTAAGGTCGTGCGGCTGGTCTGCACGGGGTGAGAGAGAGCCCTGCGCGCGGAGCTCTGCGGGCGCAAAATCTCTGGAGCGCACCCAAGTCCGGGTAGAGGAGATGGCCCTCTCGGGGGTCACGGTCTCCGGACCGCGGGCCCCCCCAGCTCTCGGTCCTTAGCAGCCTCTCGGGGTCCGGGGCTGTCTCGCGGCGCACGCTTGACTCCCGCGGAACCAACACGTGGGGGCGGGAGACGCCCGCGCGCAGGGCTCAGAGGCCAAGGGCGCCCTGGTTCCGGGCCAGGCGGGGGAGGCACCCGGGGAGATTCCCCGAACTTCCTTCGCTCCCTCACTCCTACCTCCCTTTCTGGTCTCCTCCTCCAGCCGCTCGGCCCGCCGGATGCCGCACAGCTTGGGGGCCGGGCGGGAGGTCGCAACGGCACAGTCCTCAGTGCGCCCGCCCAGAACTGCTCCAGCCTCTCGGTCCCGGCAGCCGGGCCGGTGACCCGATGGGGCCGAGGGGCTGAGCGACGCCACGGCTGGGACGCAGCCCCTCGGATCTACCTGCAAAGCCAGCCGACTGCGTCCCCGCGTCCTAGCCGTCGGCTGGAGGAACGATGGACACAGAGACCCAGGCCGCGGGGCTCCGCTCACCCGCCTGCCTCTCCAGCGCCCCCGACCCCCGCCCCGGGGAAAACGCAACTCGGCGGGAGTTCGCCCTGAGGACGCGCCACGCCCCCTCCCCAATCTGAGCCTCTGGTGGAGGCGCCGGGGCGGGAACAGCACCGCATCCCCGTGCCAAGCAGAAGCGGGCTCTGCGTCCTCTCACTCTCACTCGGACCTTCGGGCGTGGGCGGACTGGGAGTGGCTCCCA